ATGATGCTGTGTTATTTATTTATTTATTTATTTATTTATTTATTTATTTATTTATTTATTTATTTATTTATTCAAGATGGCATGCCACAAATTAATTAAATTAAATTGTGTGGGCCTAAAAGTAAGAGGCATATCCCAGTGTTCTGTTCGCCACTTCTTGTGCAATTGTGTTGCTCCCTCTTCTGGTCAAGTTTGCTAATTACAATTTTTTTTTTTTCAATCAGATGATTTGTGTTGCACTACTGTGCACATGTGTTATATTCACTTGGAAGTTTATTCTTCCCTGAAGTCTGATTGCACTGATTTCCAGCTAAATAAAACATTCTAATAAAACATTTAGCAGTAAATAAACACTAAGTGAAGCCCACAGCTGACCCCATTTGTGCCTGAACAACACAACATCGCAGAGAGAGAGAGAGAGAGTAGAATGCACAAAAATAAAGTGCACACTTCAGTCGGGACTTTTAAATAAATCATAGCGGCCACATCTTAAAAAGCTTAATGTCTGAGCCAAGAATATGATCCCCGTGTATTTATTTATAAAATGCTGGTGTCATCTTTTGCCAGACCAGGCAGTTGGCAGAATTTGTATAAAAGGCCACAGCTACAGCCTGCTTACACCACCGAAACCATTCRGATTCATCTTATGATGGACACAGATGTCTGTGCAATGATTAGTGTCAGTGGATGCACGAGTTATTTTGAATGAGGAGAGGTTTTAACTTAATGCAGTGGTAGCAAAAAAAAACCTTTTGGGGATAAAAACCCAATGTAACCCTTACTTTACTGTGTTYGAATGGAAATCCATCATTTATGTTCTCGTATTTCAGTTAGGACCAAAGGTTTTACTAACTTTATCATGAAAGGCATTAAAAAAGTATTTTCTTGCAAATTGTAAATATACCTTTGTATGCAGTCAAGCTATGTGAACACTACATTTCTACAATGCTAATTAAAATAAATCATTATGTAGACTCTAATCAATGCTTTGGGTCAGATTCACACACCGATGGGGCCTCCATTAGAGGAGATGAAGGGTTCAATAACTTGCCCGGGGATACTTTGACATGTGACTGAGTTATGGTCGAATCGAACTTGACCACTGAACCAGAGCCACACAGAAAATACAGAATAAACTTAGGAATACATGAGTTTTCATTCTTCCTAGTTCACAGCAATTATTTATCTTTCATAAAAAGGATGTAGAGCTGACGTGTAATAACTCACCTCCTCTAAAAAAAAAGCTTACTCTATGTGGGCACGTCCACTCGGACATCACATTAACAGATGGCATGCCCACATGAATGCAAGCATACACTGTAGAGCACGCACACTGCCAAACACCCACCATCCATCTTTCCTCTGCACACACACACACACACACTCACACAAGCTGCTGATGGCTGTAATGTGTGTGTGTGTTGTCACTGCCAGGCAGGAGGTGGGTGTGGTTTTCACTGCCTGGTTAAACATACCAGAGCTTAAAGCCTGAACAGCCACTCACARCACCCAGCTCCTCTCTCACTCTTCCACTGGTTCAGCTTTCACAAGGTTGGGCTCTACATTTTCAACTAGAAAAAAAAAGGCTTTTCTTTCATATTTATGTGTATTTTTTTTCTCTCTAATAAGTATCTCTTATCTCTCTTCTTTGTTTTCCTCCCTTGTGACAACACTGGATGCATCATTTTGCAGCAAGGCCCCTGGATCATCTGAGACAAGACAAGAAGTTCGACTCAAGCGAAGAGTTTGATCCGCCTGAAGTCCTTTATTTTTATTTTTTAATTTTTTTTCTGAGAAATAAAAGATAACACCGCAATGTGGAGGAAAGGGAAGATGTTGATATCGTTCTCAGTGCTGATATGTCTGTCAGTGGTCCAGCTGTGTGCGGGAGATCAGCCTGTGGAGGAAGCCRTCGCCAGTAAGTAGGGGAAATAAAACACAAAAGGAATATAAAATTGTGTTTTGTTTAATGAAGTGATGTCACAGGCATTGGAAAGAATGGTGTGCTAACAGCAACAATATCAGTTTGTTTTTTAATGTCATCATGTTCTTACACAGTTTCAATTAAAAGGAAAAAAACCTTATTAAAATGTTTTTAAAATCACAAAAACAAGTCATTTTCCCCCCTCCATAAGCCTTCTGAACACAAAGATGTGGACAAACAAGAAGATAGATTAAAAATGCAACTAAACAAATAACACTCACTGTGGTCAAGTTCAATAATGAAGTGTGAAACTCTGAAAGCTGTTGTGCTGCGAGGACTTCGCCAGTTTGTTTGGAAATACCGTGGCATTATGAGCTCATGGTAAAATATTGTGTGTTTGTCGGTGTGCAGACGATGACGCGAACTGTGTGGTTGGGTTGTGTGAGTCAGAGYGTGAGGCTTGGCCACAACTCAGAGGAATCCATCACCGTCGACGTGTTTATTTGGCAGAGAGGAGATTAAAAGTATTAGTAACGCTCAGTTTTACACCCTAATTTTTAATGAAGACAATATAAATTAGAATGCTTTCCATTTTTTTTTGACTGTGTTGTAGTTTGTTCCCAAATAAACAATTTACACTTTAAAATATGTGTTTAATAAATGGCACGTACCACTTTACGCTCAGGAAAAAAACATTGCTACACCAAAAGCTGTGAGTTAAAGGCCTCAAAAATGACAACTGATAGCCAAAGGTTAAAAGCAAAAAAGTATAAAGTTGGGTGTGATTTGCTGCATTTGTTGACGCACATCTCCMATTTAAGTCAGATGGGTGGAGGCGTACAAGAAATGACTGCTAGCTGCAAACAGGATTATCAACATCCACATAGATTTYACGCCAAAAATGTTTTGAGCCTTAATTTGGACTTTCAATATGAATTGCCTGCATGAAAGAGCACAACTCATTGCTAACTCTTTGAGGTAATAAACTCGGATGAACCCCGAAGATAAAATCCTTCATTGTTAAAAGTTGGAGGTTTCTCACCAGCACCAACTTCATCCAAAATGGCTGTTTTTTTTTTTTGTTTTGTTTTTGTCAAAAATGGCTGTTTTAAAGAAACCGATGACAGCCACAGTTGCATGCATTGCACTGTATAACTTCTAACAGTGACCACGTGACTGCATGTATAAAAAGCGTGCATGCTGTGTACATATATGCAGCATTTATGTGTTTTTATTTAACTCTCTCTCTCAGGAAAAGCACCTCTTTTGGGTGGTTGGGTGGAGAAAAGCCCAGAGTCACCTGACGTTCAGGCAGCAGCTGATTCTGCTGAGAAGTTGTTCAACACAAACTCCAAGGGCAAGAAAATGTTCAAACTGGTCTCCATCAACAGTGCTCAAGTTCAGGTTGGATTGAATGTTCAAATGAACACGAACAAACATATTTCTTATCAAACAATTCTCGTTTAATAACCGGATCGTCTGGTTTTCTCTTCAGGTGACTAACAAAATCAACTTCAGGGTTGATGCAATCATGCGAAAAACCAAGTGTTTGAAGTCTGAAAACCATGACCTGAAGAGCTGCAGTTTGGTTCAAAAGGTAATTCTGTTGTGCTTTGGTTTTGTATATGTCCATCAAGTAACTCATTATTACACCCATTATTAGTTGAACTTGTCTGACAAACAATTCTGACTTTAATATCAGAATTCTGACTTTTTTCACAGATGTCTGAGATCAAAATCAAAATTATATTTTTTTCTGGTGGCCCTAATCCTCTTTTGTTCTCATGTGTCTTTGTTAATGGATGTTTTTTTTTTTGTTTTGTTTTTTCTTACTTAATAAATTTGGCACAAATGTGAGAAAATTTGTGATTGGTGGATTAGTCCTTTGTTGTAACAATGYTTCTTGGCAATAAATCTTACACCTGGCACCTGATTGGCAGCACCTGGAACCAAAAGTTCAAAACAAGTCAGTAGAAACAGCAAAATCAACGGTTTGGCAATGAAAAGTTTTGGTTTTATTTTTTCCAAGCGTGCAACCCAAATGCTCAGCTTTACTGATCATCCCACAAATGCACATTCTTTACAAATGTGGCACCATTGAAAAGGGAAATTAAAAGCCTTTCCAARTGTGTACAGTTTATTGCCAAGAAGCACTGTTACAACAAATAAATAATCTATTAAACACTAATTGCCTTACTTTTTTTGCGCTAAGTATAGTTGCAATGCCTTTATAATGTTTGATTTCTTATTGATTTTGTATTGTCTTCTTTTTCCCAGCAACTGAACTGTGTCTTTGATGTGAGCTTCCACCCCCGCAACAACAGACACGAGCTGAAGAATCAAAAGTGCCAGAAAATTGCGAAGAAGGAGTAACTCTCTTCACAGGCTAAACATTATTCTGCCTTTAAACTGTTCTTTCAACTTTTAATATCCAGTGGTAATTTTTGCACTTGATTTCATTTCAATTGTAAAATTGGGTGGAAGCGAAATTACATTTTAGGAAAAGGAGAATTCTGCAATTAATGTTTTGTTTAAAAAATGAAGCTGAGGACCAATTGAAGTATTGGCATTTTTTGTCAYGATAAGATAATCTTTTCTTTTTATTCGTGCATGCAATGAGAAACTTGATATTTAAAAAAAACAACATTTTTTTTATTTTGAATGTGATTTTTTTTCTCAGTCTGGAATTCTTCTGAAATGAGAAAACTTTATATTATTAGAATAACAAAAAACAGCTGAGTTATGCTTTAAACATTCTATGATAATATAAGTTGTATGAAACTTTCTTTAACTTTTAACTTTTCATTGATTTTGTGTAGGTGGAACAGCTCTTATTTTCTTTCTATTAAATAAAACAGTTACTTTAAAACATGAGTGTGCCATGAAATGCAGTAAGGAACAGTCACCAAGGCATAGATGTCTATTTATTATTACAGTGTTCTTTGTGATATTGGTATTGTTTTTAGGGCACAGTCTGATCTTGAATCGTACATTTAACTGATGTAGGGAAAAAAAAATCAAGCATAAAAAATAGATTCACGTGCTGCTGAGTGATGTAAGGCCAGTCATGGGTGACTAACAGTCTCATCATTCTTCTGGGGGTGGGGGGTGGTTGCAAATATGTAAAATGAACCATTTTCATTTTATACGTAGTTTATACCTATTGTGACACATAGAAAAAGTTTCATACAGAAACAAATACTTTCAACTATTTAAAGAAAACTTTTTAAAACTTTAAAACTGGTAAATTTGACCCGCAACATAACAGGAGGGTGAACAGCCAGTCCTGTCTGTGTATTAAGGATTTTTTTAGAAAATAATTCCATTTTAAATTATTTGAATTGTAATATCATATATAAAACATTATTGTATTTTTTGAATAAYTGAACATAATCCTGGTCAGTCCAATATAGACAAATGATTCAGAGTAAAAATATTTGGACACTAATTAACAATAACCAAGGTTCTAGATGAATTTTATGGCCACATAACTGTTGGTTGAAAAGTCCAGACACTGGAGGTAAATGTGAACCACAGTTAATATTCTCTCACAGAGGTGGAATTTCTTCTGGAGATAGTCGACACCCAAACCATCAGAATGCAGAGCCATAGAGACGGAGGCGCACTCTTTCCATTTCAAGATCGCTACTTTGGGCTTTTTACGCAGAATTCACATGGAAATTCTATGTCTCAATTAAACAAGCAGATGGCATTTATACTCATGTTAAAGGAAAACGAGACTCACTGCTTAGAATGCTGTCTGGACCGGTAATTATTAAGTGTTTGATTGTGCTGCTTATTGCATTACATCTACATTTTACATGTTTTACTCTTCTCTCTGTTCAAAATGATGGAAATGTGATGTGTCTAATCTGTCATAGATAAGAGTGTTAAACAATTAAATTACTGACAAACCTTGAATCAGTTTTATACAAGGCATATCATTTGTTTATGTAATTTGCCAACTGCTATTATACCTGAGAAATGAGAAAACAGAAAACATACATCTTTGTCATAATTCAAAAACCCACACATTTATTGGCAACATTGCATTATGCATTTTGTACACAAACAAAACTATCAACAGGTCGATGTAAACTTTATAACAGATTAATTTTGTAGGATGTAAAGGAGCACCAGGTATTTTGCTGAGTTTCTTTGTAATAGCTTGTCAATCTTTGTTTTGTCACGATTCAAACAGTGACAAATCATAATTAGTTAAAATGCAGTTTGTAAGAAAAAAACAAAACAAAACAAAAAAAAACAACAACAAAAAATAAAATAAAAACCTGACTTATACATATGTATCCTTGCTGTATCTTTTTTGTAAAAAAAAATGTTCAGCAGTTGTCAGACACTGGTCTCAATGTGAGGTGTCGTCTTATGGTTCAGCATATGAGACAGAAGTCTGTGATGGTGGTGGTACCTAACACACGCATACACATACATAACACACACACAGATACACACATTCACACAGCACACAACAGATGAAGAAAYACATCAGTGCAMATYAAASCAAAGCAGTGATAAAACATAAAGTGAATTCTGCGCCCCCTGCAGGCCATCAYTTCTTATTATAASTGATTTGTTTTAAGGTTWAAAAAATTCATGGAAAGGRGATAAGCTGCACAGTGTCAGACTTATTTATTAATTTTTTTATATCGGGACATCTTTTTTATTGAAATGATTCACTAGTTGTAGAAAAGAAATGTTTKTACATAAAGTCATACACATACTTGTTGATGACCCTTTGAATCTCCCTGTTTTCCTCCTCTCTGAGTTTGAATAGAACCTGTTCCAAGATTGGTAGCTCCAAGTTCAGATACTGAGCAACCTAAAGAAATAGAGATTTAGGAAAAAAAATCAGTTTGAATCAGTTTGATCTTCTGTTAAAAAATACAAGCAAATATGTCAGGATGCATTTTAATATGAGATTCTATGACTCGTGTGTGAAAATGATTTCTTTTTTTTAATTTTAGGACATTTGCAGGACTTTAGTCAACAAAAAACATGCTCAGATATTGTTCTTGTGAATCTGTCATTAATGCCTTGCAAGCATCTGTTCGAAAATGATATCAACAAATGCATTCACGCTAAAAACAACCCCTTAAATGTATAAGAAGACAAATGGACATTCCACACTCACGTCATTGCTGACTTCCTCTTCATGCATRTCCATCAGAAAGATCTTCATGATGTCATCAGAGGGGCCCTGCAGGATGCGCTCCCACAGCGGGTAATCTCTGTTACACAGCTTTTTCTTTTCTGGACAAAACACCCACACATAAGCCCCATCACATAACATGCACTGTTTTCTTGCTTTGGATTACTTATTTTTCTTAAATAATAATAAAAAAACACATTGACCTCACCTCCACTTCGGTGAATAGAGTACAAAGCAAACTCCTGGGGGTCATTTTCTATCTACAGKAGTAACAGACAGTGAAATATAACAACTGCATGTCACGTTTTTTAATTGTTCCAGAATAAAAGCCAAAGTCACCTTGAACTTGTTCAGCAGCTGTTCTATGACTTGGTCTGTTGTCATCTTGCTAGAGGTGTGAACTTTAGTTGAAGTACCAAATGTTGGGGTGAATATAGAGGTCTGCAGGATACAGCAGGGCATCAATGAGCTAATGTACTGAAGGAACTGTGAACAAGAATTTATGAGAGCTCTGTCGAGCATGAACTTACTTTGTAGTTATAGAAGTGGCCGTTGATGGAAAAGCGATGTTGTCTTTCTTGCTCTCGCTGTGCTGCCGACTTTCCCCTTCCTCTCCTCCTCTTAACCAACGAGGCGTCACTCATACAGCGAAACAGGTTGGACTCAACCTCCAGCTCGGGATTCTTGTGCCTCGTGGGACGCAGCGTTGCAGACTCATAAACCGGAGGGYCTTCAGATAATAAATAAATAAATAAAAAGACAGCTAGAAAACTGTACTTAAAAAAGATGAATATCCCTCAACAAGTTTGTTGCCAGTTGGTCGTTTTTTTTACCCTGTAACTTTTTGTTAAAACATATATTTATCTACATTTTAGAAAACGTTCTCGCTGTTCTCAAAATTGTCTCTAATGTTGTATGGCTTAATACAAATTGTTGATCTTTACCGAACAGAACAGTTATGAATATACACTGCCTGGCCAAGAAAAAAAGTCGCCATCTGGATGTAACCGAGCAAAATGGTAGAAGCCTCATATGGGTGATTATCTTTCAGCTGGCAACAAGTTATTTAACCCAAACTGGTGCAACGAGTTGCTTCTCATTTCTTAAAAAAAAACACGTCAAAAGACACATCTCATGATGAAGTCAAAGCGGCAGGTGAAGTGATGCACCCGGGTTATTCTATCAACAGATTGTTTCTTCCTTGACGGCACGGCCATATTCCAAGATGACAATGCCAGGATTCATCAAGCTCAAACTGTAAAAGAGTTCAGGGAGCATGAGACATCATTTTCACATGGATTGGTTCCACAGAGTCCATTGAGAATCGTTGGGATGTGCTGGAGAAGGTCAGACTCTACCATCATCAACGCAAGATCTTGGTGAAAAATTAATGCAACACTGGATGGAAATAAATTTGGTGACATTGCAGAAGCCTATCCAAATGCCACAACGAATGTGTGCCATAATCAAAATTAAAGGCGATCCAACAAAAATATTAGAGTGGGTGACCGCTTTTTTTTTTGGGTGAGTTTTTTTAAGGCCAGGCAGTGTAGAATTTAAGAGACACAAACTGAAATCAACCTGGTAGAGGATCTTTAACTACTATTTCATGTGCCGCATCTGTTTCTGCCAACTCGTCGATCTGGTGAAGATCATTATATTCTCCCCATCGTGACATGCTACTGCAAGAAACAGACAGAACAAAAATCGACATCAGTTATCCACAGACATTTGCAAGGTTGTTAATGCACTGAGCTCAAGCGTCTAGACAAATTTCAAATCAATACGAGTACACAAAAGCTGACGTCTAACCTCTTGCTACCAAGTGGGCTGACTGGACTGGCTGGATCAGGCGCAGCCATCGGCAAAAAGGGAAGATTCTGTTTGTCGTCTTGCATTTTCAGCCTGATTGGTCTCCTCACGCCCCAGGATATATTCAGTAAACCTTCCACTATAACCCTCCCATCTGCACCCTGTAATAGAAAATAAAAGCACACAAGGACAGATGCATGGCGTGAGAATACAGCTGTGAGTAAACAGCCATAATTGTTGGAATGTGGAACTCGTACCTGAGAATAAGCGAGATGGAGCTGMGTCTGCTCTTTTAGGAAGCAGTTGTAAGTGTTCACCATGGACAGAAACTCTGCTCTGAAATATCAAATTACATTAATGTTGCAGAAGAAAACGTGAAGCACAAATTACAGTGCAATATAGGTGCACTTCTTTTTATTAGTCTTCACGTAGCTTGTAGTTTATTACTACTGCCTTCAGAGCTCAGAAAATCATCTGTCTCGATCTCACACCATCCTACATCTCCTCTGTCACACCTGTCCTGCACATCCCTGCACCTCCTTTGTGGTTTTATTGTTTTCCTCCTCCCTGGCAGCTCCAGATGCAACCYTCTTTGTCCAGTACATCAACTATGCCTCCTCTGCACATGTCCAAACCATCTCAGCCTTGCCTTTTTAAATTTGCCTTTAAACCTCAGCTGTCCCTCTTCTTCCCAGGTTACTTCTGCCTCGCCAGGCTCTCCTGTCACCTGTTCCCTCCTRTGGATCACAATGTCACCCTGTAGACCCTGCCTTTGTTGCACAGCATTTATAAACAACTGTGATTCTAAATGCAAGTTTGCAAGTGTGGGGTGCCAAGTGTAAAATAAAAAGTAAAAAAAAAAAGAATCACTAACATATTTTTTTCATTATTTAGCTCAATTTTTGAGTGCTCAAAAATTTCCACTAACATTTCATTGTTTTTTAGCTCACTGTTCTTACATTTAGCTCATTTTTACTAAATGTTAAAAATTATGTTTAAATATTATATCCCAAATCTAAATGTTTAAATGTAAATGTAAAAGTTAAACCCTTGAGTTAAATGTTGAAGTTCACATTTAGATATTTTGGAATGGAACGCAGCCTTTGCTGTTGGCGCTCGGCTCATGTTATGACATCATCATCCTGAGACAATAGCAAGCGCTAGTGCTCCAACGCAGCTAAWGCTTCCCAACAAGACATCAAACGTATGGCCGGTG